AGTATAAATTATCTAATACATGTAATACATCCTCATTTTTCAAAGAACTATCAAGCATGACAAGCCGGTCGGGATATGAAATATTTTTTCTAAAACAATGAAAATAGCCGCGTCATGACAAAACCAACATAATGGGTTTGCGACCAGCATGGATCCAGACCAGTCTGCGCATTCGCGCAGTCTGTTAAGGATCCATGCTGTTCGCTATCAGTTTCTATACTTGTTATACGGTTTGTAAGCGAACAGCATGGATCCTGATTAGACTGCGCGGATGCGCAGGCTGGTCTGGATCCATGCTGGTCGCAAACCCATTATGTTGGTTGTCGTGACGCGGCTCAAATAATGGTCTTTATCTCTATCTCACCCTTACTCTATTTATTGCTTATCTATGGACCTCCTCCTCCCCACCTATAAAAATCAAGCATAGCAATAGGGATGAGATATTAAATAACATCTCCACATGGCCATTTCCAAAGCATAATGCTCATTCCTTAAAAGGAGACAGTATTTCACGTGAAACATGCATGTATTTTTCATTTGTATTTAAAGGGGAAATAAATGTCCATATTATTAAAAATTTTTAAATTTTTATATTTTCCCCATTTTTCTTCATTTTGAAACCCTTTCGTTGTTTTCTATTAATATAACAAAAAAAAAAAGATAAACATTTTAAAAATTTTATTTGCAAGGCTAGAAATTTAAATTATATCTACAAGCGACTGACGGATAATTTTCAGACGGGGTTACATAATACTAGCTATTTTTTGTTTGTTCTAAGATAAAGATGGTGAACATAACATAAAATTTTAAAAAAAAAAGACAAAAACAAACAAAACTTAACTGATTTTTTTATTCGGGGAAAATTGTTTTCCAAAATGTTTGTTTGTTGTTTGAATAAAATTGTTTTTTAATATTGGGTAAAAGTTCATTTTTGAATTTTTAGGGTCAGCCCTAACTGTTTTTGGGACTTACTGTTGAGTTCATAGACGCAGGGTTATTCTTTATTTTTTCATGGAATGTGAAATATGCTACGTTTGTTTTTAAATTACGTTTACTGTACGTCATTAAAAAGTGTCTCGTCGATGCACCTATCGCATTGATTACTTTTGCAGTAAAATTTCCAAATTATTTGCTCATTTGTACATACTGACCTGTAAATTTGTTATCTTCCTTGTCATATTTAATCACCAAATTATAATGGAGTGTTACAGACATAGAGCACTGTCTAACATTTTTCATATGACATCGTGAGACTCGGTTTAGTTTACGGACAGCAATTGTTAAAGAATAGTAGACAAACGTCAGCAATACTGTTTGCGCTTACCTATATGCTGAGTGCTCGTACGAACAAATTCGTTTTTATAAAAAGATGGCAAGTGTTTGATACTTTTATTTCAAATCTTATAATTCATTAATGTTGTTACATGTCAGGATAATCTTTATGTGAAAATGTCCGATTTGCCCTATATCGCAATGCATGTTTGTAAAAACTGAAGGTTATCGCGCAAGTTCATAATTTCAACATAGTTTCTTACTTAGGTAACAATTTACTTTGAATTGAGGGACAGTTTGTTATAATATACTGACGTGTAAGTTTTGCTCTCTCTCTCTTTTTCTGTGATTTGTTTTTGTTATTATTTTTTTTCTCTTTTTTTTTTTTTTTGGGGGGGGGGGGGGTAAAATTTGATATATAGAGGATATTTTTTTTCCATAAATACAGGATTTATTTTCAGCGAGTGGTATGAAAAATAAATATTTCATGAGTGTCGGTAGCCACGAGTGAAATATGAAAATTTTCTAACCACAAGATGAAAATAAATCCTTTATTTATAAAAAAACTTGAATTTTCTGTTAATTATATACATTTTTCTTTTGATATTACAATTTGAATGATTTTCGTATTGGCTGAATTTAGAAAAAAGTAGTCCGACAAGACAGCAGTGAAAATACGGAAAATATGTTTCACTGCAGTGAAAAATAAATAGTTTACATTGAAAATACGAAAAATGAAGTACGCATTTTACTTCATGAATATTTCTCAATATTCTTTTTAATTTTTCATTAATAAGTATAAACAGAAATATCATTGTTATTATTAAATACCCATTGTATATTCACCAAGAAGATTTGTTAAGTTATATGTGCATATGATATTGTACATATTAATTTTTTTTTAGTTTGTTTGTTTTAGTTTTTAATAAAACAGAATATTTTATTTATCATGCAGAAATGAATCCTGATCATATTAATAATTAAAGGGAAGTAAATGCTAAAATATTTGCTATAGAAAGTTTCATACGTTATTCCCCTTCATTTGTCACAATCATTACTTTCATTCAAACTTGTAGATTCTATTGATTCAATTTTCAAATCTCAATTTACTGTAGCTAAATTTGATGATGTTATGTAAATATAAACAAATTCTTGAGTACAGACTCGTATATATGTATTCAAATGCATTTTAAGTAATTTTACTGTCTCATTAAACAGTCTCATTATTTTTCAGTTACATACGTTCATGTCATGTGCCATTTATGTATTATATGTTGTATTTGTATATATAATATGGTGATGAGCTTATTATGCTTAAACCAAATAATAAAATTTCTGTTCTCTTCTTTTTAATCAGATGGTGTGTTTCATAAAGAAGCATTGTAATTGGAACAAAAGATTTTGTTAAAATGGTGGTTTTAAAAGGGGATAAATATGTACTACTGTTATTTCTTATAACACATGCAGCTAAAACCTTGGCAGAAAAGCGGCTCCTCCTCCATTCGGAAGCTGATATAGCTGCAGAACTTATTCGATTACGGAGTGAGTTAGCAAACGTAACTCAACAACTTGGCACTGCACTTGTCGAAATTAAATCTTTGAAATCGACACAGTCAATCACTAACTGTAAGCTTATTATTTCTGTCGTAAATTTTTGACAAATGAACATATGAAAAACAAGCAAATTCCGTAGTTTGTTACTCACTTTTAGTATTATGTAACTCGGCCTATGAGTAAAAATAGATTAAGTTTATTCACTTTATTTGTTTGTTTGTTTGTTTTGGGTTTTACGTCACATCGACACAGTATAGGTCATATCGCGACGTTCCAGCTTTACTGGTGGAGGAAGACCTGAGGTGCCCTTTCGTGCATTATTTCAGGCACGAACGGGCACCTGAGTAGAACCACCGACGTTCCGTAAGCTAGCTGGATAGCTTCCTCACATGAAATAATCCAAAGTCCCTGTCGGGATTCGAACCCACAGAGGTGAGGGGCTTATTCAATTAAAAATATTATTGAAAGATTATGTAATTTCATTTAACCATTTATTTAAAGTATGTTGCCGTAAAAATTACAATCTTTGGTTCCAGCACACTAGAGTGTTGAAAATTGAGTCTCGTTCAAGCCGATGCTAGGGGTCGTGAGGGATGTTGCACGTTTTCATTATCCCTCATGTGTTTAGTGTATTTACATAATAATTATTTAATTATCAAATTAGAATGTGCATTACATAAACTTTTAGTGTTCAACTTTATTTGTCATCCAATGGAAACGATGTATTTCTTCAAAATAATCAGTGTTAATTTTCATAGAAGAACAAAACTCGATACTATGTATATGTTAGTGTTCATCCGTGCTGTTCTACAGAAATTAGAAACTTCGACGGGAGCGATAGCGACAGGAGAATGTTTCTAATTTCTGTAGAATAGCACGGATGAATACTAACATATTTAGTGTCAAACTTTATTTGGCCTCATTATCATTCGCTTTATTACGCCACTATGCGGTATGAAAAATAGAAGTCGACTATGGACGGAATTCGATATAGTATCGACTTTTGTTCTTCTATGAAAATTAACGCACAGCAATACAGTGTTTTCATTGGATGACAAATAAAGTCGGACACTAAATCAAATTCTGTTCATAGTCGCCTTCTATTTTTCATAGTGCTTCATGGAACCACGTTTGTAAAAATAGTAATTTGCACATGCGCAGCCGCTTTTGTGTGCCGCTTCTGAATATTAATTAAGTAAACATAACGGCGATCAAAAGGTCAACCTACATTAATTTTGCATTTATTGATAAATAAACATAATGTCTACTTTCACTCTCTGTCTACCGAAAAAAGTGAATAGACACACGTGACTTTCCTCTAAGTCAGAAATTCAGTCAGTTCAGATTTAAAATCTACGTCTTGGCGAAAAAGATACTGCATATGTAAAAGTAAAAACCAATACAAAAGGTCAATTAACATTTTTATTACGAAAGTGGAAAAAGGTCTTAATTAATTTCTGACTTGGAGGAAAGTCACGTGTGTCTATTCACTTTTTTCGGTAGACAGAGAGTGAAAGTAGACATTATGTTTTTGAAAATATATTACGTGACCTCGTGTTAACACGTGATATTTAATGTATACATGTATAAAACATATAAGATATTAGCTACTGAGTTGTCCAACTCGTCAAAGTGTATAAATGATATCAGGCCAAATAAAGTTTTACTAGTATTCATCCGTAGCTGTTCTACAGAAATTAGAAACATTCTCCGGTCGCTATCGCTCCCATCAAAGTTTCTAATTTCTGTAGAACAGCACGGATGAACACTAACATATATTAAGTAACTCCGGTTTATTTGGCAAAGCATAGTGTGAGACATGTATGATTCAATTAAAGATCTCACAAAAAAGGTTAATGAAAATCTAATAACTACGGACGTGTGGAATTTCTCACAATTGGGCTTAATTCTTTTATATTGAACTTTATGTGGCATTTTCCCACATAAACCATCCAAAATTATCTTTTGTCTATATGTCTTTTTGCCAGTATTTAAAAAGACGCTTTTGGTCTATTGCTAATTCATCATGCCTTTTATTGATTTGCATTATTAATTGTTTATTTATTGCATTGAATAAAATGGTATGATTGTTTGTTGGCATTATAATTGACCTTTGCTTTTATCACAATATGTTAAAGTGGTAGAAAGTCTGGAATTATAACAATTTTCATGTCACGTGCCGTTGTTTATTATTTTAGTACATCCGGGATCTATGTACGTCCGATGGGGAAAGAAGACCTGTCCAAATAGCACAGAACTAGTATATCATGGTAGGTATATTAAAACAACTATGAAATCTGCTTTAATTTCCTCAAATTTCTCGTTTTACTGATTATACCTGTACAAAAAACATTTTACGCTACCGATCTTCCAACAAGATTTTATGTGGACTTCTCCGAGAAAAGATCATGTCAATAGTATGCTTGATTTTGTTGTTTGTGGAACTGCTTAGTCCATCCTGAAAACTTTATTTGTTTATGGACATGTAATAACTACATTTACATCTGTTAAGCTTCAATTGCAATTTATTCATACTTATGATTTTAGGATATACTGCTGGAAAACATTTCAATGAAAAAGGCAGTGGTTCGAATAACATTTGTCTTCCCTCTGATCCAACATGGTTACACTATTTAGATGGTGATCAGGGCTATAGGGCTACTGTTTATGGTACAGAAACTGACATTCCAACAAATCCTTTCTTCAAGTATGATATAGATCAACAAGACATGCCTTGCGCTGCATGCAGAACAGACAGGTCCACGACTCTTATGATACCAGCCCGTAAAAACTGCTACCCGGGATGGACATTAGAATATTATGGTTATCTCGTCAGTGCTGCAGCGGTCACGTACCATTCGTACGAGTATGTCTGTTTAGACGGAGAGCCAGACTTTCTAGACAAAGGTGCAAAGAGTGATGATGAACATATTTTACATCTGGTCGAAGGTCAATGTGGCTCACTCCCTTGTCCACCGTATGTCGACGGTCGTGAACTTGCATGTGTCGTCTGCTCGAAATAGTTTGCTACATATTCTTTGTAATAGTTATAAATGTATCACACGTTTTAATTTGTTTCGGTACATGTTGTTTAAGTTTATGATTTTTGTCTTGAATTTGTTAATATGAAATGAATTTTATCGTCACAACATGATAGAAAATAAAACCTGATATCTGATATATAGTAATTAGCTTTATCGAAACAGTAATTAGCTTTATCGAAACAGTAATTAGCTTTATCGAAACAGTTATTAGCTTTATCGAAACATGACATCAGTTACCTTGCCGATACGGACCAATATCTTTAGCGTAAGTAGTTTAGATAAATATATTGCGTGCTTCCAAGTTGTGTCTAATTTGTTTGGGTAAGAAGGTCTATAATGCGACTAATTCTTATTTTTTATAAAAGTGACATGACGCCCATCCCATCCATAAGTGAAAAGGTAAAACTAAAAATAACTTGACATATTGCCATTATTGTGTTTATGAAAAAATAGTTATTAATTGACGTGACAAAAGGTAATTTATAAAATATCGTTAAGTGTATCGTTAAGACTCAATTTTTAAAAAGAGTGGTTTTATTTAAATTGTAGACATTTTTGACTATCAGTTATTGATCAGTCACCATAATAATGAAATATATTACTAATGCAACCCAAATTGACAGCGAACAGATGCGCATAATTTAACTTTATGGTTCATGATATATTTTTCAAAATTAAAAATCAACATACAGATTATACTTATAGGCTCCATACCACGATCTGTTCAAGTAATTTGATACTTTAACCTCATCTTACACAGCTGGTGAAATCATTGACAACACAAAAGATAATATTGAAACCGTAGTAAAGGCAAATGAAAAGCGTTGATCAATTTGACTTGTAGTTATAAATTCAAACTACTGCTTATGCAATGTAGGACTCAGCACGTTAAATTAACTGTCCAATGTTTTCAGTCTTTCTAGAACAACAGTTCCATAGAGTGTCAATAAACGCACTTGCTTAGCAGCCATTCTCCTATAACTGAAGCACTTAAAATTTTTCCCGTCTCTACTATTACATATGTACAGGCGTAAAAAGCGTACAGACAAGCTGAAACATATTAATTAAAACATTAAGAAGTATTTTTAGATGATCACAGCAGCCAAACCTGAATTTTTATGCTCCCCATAGGAATATTATGTAATCGCCACTTTGTCCGTCTCTACGTCCGTCTGTTCGCTTCTTGTCCGGGGTATAACTTTAAACTACAAAAGGTATCGATAGATGGATCTCATTGAGTATATTTTTTTTTCAAATTTACACTTTGAACTTTGTCCGGGGCATAACTTTGAAACAACAAGAGGTATCAACAAGAAACTAAGTAGGTTGATCTCATTCAGTAGAAGTGCAATACACAAATACAATAACTTTGAAATCAATACTGTTTTCATATATGATTAGGAATTGGATCAGAAGTTTAAGAGCTGTATTTTCCACAAATTTTATTAAATACCATAGCTGCAAAATCGAGACTATCGCACCGTAACTATTTAAAACTGGAATGAAACAATCTCGAGAAGTATTATATTCTTTTAAATTTACACTCATAACGATGTCAAAAGACTATATTTGGAATAAAATTGATAAATTAAACTCCTACGGTGAATCATTTTTAACACAAACAGCTTGATATTAAGAAATACAAATGTCGCGTTTAAAATGCTAAGCCTTGTTGGGCTTTCTTTAGGGATTCTGTATTTATCTATTTCCTAACTGGCGTATACTTTTAAATATATACATTATATCAATCAAATAAAGATTTGAAAATATTGTTTTGTGTTTTTTTGAAATGTTAGGCTCCTTAAGAGATTCTGTTTCTCTCTATTTAACATATTTTACCTTAAAAAACTCATTTTGAATGTCAAAGCGAAGTTGTCCAGAAGTTTCTTCTGTAAACTGAGGCCCCATCATAAACACCTTACCAGTGTTTCATCAAGGGTACCTACCATTAGAACCTTTCCGCTAAAAATCAAGGCTATGAAGAGAAAAAGGTTTTAAATGCTGCGTGTCATTCCCCACCTGTTGATATTGATAAATGAATCTAATTCCCGTGAAGAAATAGAAAAAAACAGATGACCGAGGTATGCGTTCAAAATGAAGTGAATGTGGAAAAAGGTTTCTGATGGTGAGAAGCTAAGATGGATAGAGGTTGAGAAACATGTTAACAAAAATGAATTTATTCAGATTGTGTTACATGAATTAGAAAAATTTCGAGGTCATGAAAATTGAATCAGTACAATGAATTTAGAAGGCTTAGAAGGAATTTACCACAGAACGAAGTCTTTTGTGGATTGATTCTGCAGAAATTATAACGGCAACTTAGTAGAAGAGGTTCACATTGCATAATGGGACTTCCAAATGCTATCCTTTCACACTACTGTATGGTTGTTTAATTTTCAAATAGTGTCAACAAAACTGTTAAAATTTACGAACCCCTTCAAATCTTCTAAGTCATAATGCATCGGTTATATATACAATTCTGAAGAAAGTGATACCCTTGATTAAATGTAATTACCACAAATTGAGACCATTCATTTTAACAGACTCTCCCAGTAGTAAATACAAGAATAAAACAATATTTTCAATCTGTGAGCACGAAATTGACTTTGTCATATCAGTAAGGTGGAATTATCTCGGAAAAGGTCATGGAAATGGACCATGCGATGAATTAGGAGCAAGTGTTAAGCGAATGGCTGACATAACTGTGAAATAACAAAATGTTTGATTCAAGATGCAAATTTTTGTATCATGAATGGGCCATTAGCAAAGCAGATGATAGCAAAGTATATAAGTACACAGAAGAAGATATAAAAGAAGTATTTCATATTTTAAAGATAAATGTACATGCTGTTGTGCCAATGAATTCCTCAACCATTTTTGTGAGAGAATTAAGCTATTAGTGACAGACTTGTTTACACGAAACACCGTATTGATGAAAGAGAAGAATTCTACGTGGCACTGAAAGAACGGCGGCTGAAAGACGCAATTAATACGAACAAGAAACAAACAAAAATGAAAATTAAGAAAAATATTTTTAAGTTGTTGTTGACTGTTTATGATGGTAAATGGTTTATTGAAAAGTAAAAGATCAAGATATGGAAAGAGTGTCAGATAAACTTTTCAACAAAGTCGGGAAAATATGGTGACGCTTTTAATAATTTATTTAACCCTTTACCTCATATATACGCGAAACAACGCACTTTCGACCCCCCCCCCCTTATTAAGGCCTGAAATAGTAAAAAAATGTCCTATTCGGGCCCCAAACACATGTTTTCGTTTGAGAAATGTTGCTAAAAAAACTGAGCACTTTTTCTGCGCGGCCCCCCATCCAAAATATACATCAGGGGGTTGCCAGAAGGGGGATGTGCCCCCTTCTGTTTGGGGGGTTTAAAGGGGGCGGAGTCCCCCTCATCGCCAAGAAAATTTTGGACTTGTGAGAGGCTTAAAATGACCCCAGGTCGATCATAAGGTAACGTGTAACCAACGCTGAAAAGCCTTTGACTCTATCTCAATCCCTTGAGAAGTTGCAGCACTTCGAAATAAATTTTGATGGAAAAAATCGAGGCAAAATAGTGATTTTCGGCAATTTTGAGATGTCCCCTCGTTGCCATGGTAACAGGAAATTTAAGACTGAGCATGTCGTTACAAAGGCAATGGTCCAGTCAACATTTGTGCCAAGTTTGATTAGTATTGAAGCATTTTTCATAGTGTCATAGCAGTTTGAACTTGTAAGAGGAGGCTTTTCAGCGAAAATGGCCATTTTTCACAATATGCTCATGGGGGAAAGGGTTAAGAGGGATGAATTGTGGACAGAATAATCAATAGTGCTGACACTTCTAAACACACTATAGGTGACTGGAAAGGCACGGAAGTGCTACCGCATCACAAACTTAAGAAAACAAACTTAATAACAGAACAGTACGTACAACAAGTTTGTGCTAAATGGACATAAGTTAATCAAATTAAAGTGTAAAAAGAGCTGCGTGTTTTAAGCTTAACACTTACTGTTCTTTGTTCCATAACATATGTTCTGTAACGGATGTTTTCTTTCTGGAGTTACTCACTTTATTAAACTGTTTGATGTGCTTTTTTAATTATTGCAATTGTTAATGATATATTCTGTTTGTCCATATAACACATGCCCATAAGGGCAACTTTAAATGTTTTTTTGCTTTGTTTACGCATTACATATTCCAGTCGGTATCTGGATAATTGTCTCTTCTTCTGTCTCTACATCATGGAGTGTTAAGGCATGTATTTATTAAGGTATCTAAATGAGGTGTGACGATTGTTGTGAGTAAGTCTTAGTCATTCCGAAGTGAGAACATTTTTGTTTAAATTTAAGTTATAAATCTTTTTTTTTTATAATTCATCTATGTTCTGTAATAGAATATAAGTATTGTTTGATGAAAATTAATGCAGCAACATTTGTTTGGTATTGTTACGCCAATTGAAAACTATGCATTATTTGTTTTCTGTTTCTATCTAAAAAATGATACGATCATTTCTCGTTGTTTGTTTGATTGGGTTTTACCTCACACCGACACAGTAGAGGACATTTGGCGACGTTCCAGCTTTACTGGTGAAGGAAGACCTCAGGTGCCCCTCCGTGAATTATTTCAGGCACGAACGGGCACCTGAATAGAACCTCCTACGTTCCGTAAGCTAGCTGGATAGCTTCCTCACATGAAAGAATCCAAAGTCCCTGTCGGTATTTGAACCCACAGCCGTGAGGGGCAAGTGGTTTGAAGTCAACGACCTTAACCACTCGGCCACGGACGCCGTTAAAACAATGACAATGTTCAAATGTTGAATGAACAAGGTCTATATAAATCACATACAAGATATTTATACAACACAACAGCTGTCAAGTGCTGTCAGCTGTAAAAAAAAGTTGTCCCGTACTTCACTACAGTGTTGTTACATTTTTCTGTTCCTCTCGGTGCTAGGGGCGTAAGGGATGGTGCACTTTTTCAGTTATCCATCATGTACAGACAAAATCAAATCAATCAAATAGAGAAAAGAAGAATCCCTAAAGAAAGTCCAACACAACAAAATTGAAAATGTTGCAGGCTCGGTTTGATTGAGCCTGTTCGTGGACGGTACTGGAAAGTGCAAGTTTCTAGGCCGGTAC